GCATGAAAAAATATTAAATACACATTTGCAAACATAATAATTCATAAAATTTGGAAATAAAAAACACCAGAAAAATCTTGCAAATTCTAAAATAAGACGACATTGTTAAGAAAACAAAACTACAAAAACAAATTCGTTTTATGTATGTGAATTTTTTCTGCAGGCTCCTTTAAGCTTTTCTTATTGGAATCGCTGTTGTTGTTGTTACAGTTTTACGCTTTTTGAGCAAATGTGGTAAGTCGCCCTTCTTTCAATTGTTATTGTTATTGTTAATGGCATTGTTGATATATATTTACTTGCCTTATTTACTTATATTATTGTTTTTGTTTCTGTTTTTTATTTCGAGCTTTTGCAAAATTCATTAATTTCCTTTTTGTTTCCATGGTTAGGCAAACAGAATAGTTTTTGTTTATTTTTTTAGTTGTATTTACTTTGATTTTTTTTAATGATGTGCTGCTTTAAAACTTCATTGTGCAAAAATTGCCTCACAGAAAATTGTTAAACATACAAAAGCACATTAAAGAATCAACAAATTACAAATCTGTGCCGAAGGTTTTTCTTAGTAATAAATATGAGGTTAATAAAACACACTGAGAATAGCAATGAACCCTTTTAAAAAAAGTAGTTAAATTTTTAAACAGCGCAAATAATTTTATTTAAAAAAACAAAAGAAAAATGTACATATCTAAATAAATTAACTAAAATAAATCGGTACATCTATTAGAAGATTTGACCACTGGAACTTAATTAGTGGCTAATCATAGTTGTAACCTTTAGTACAGTCTGAGTAATACACAGGTAAAATCGGATATAACGATATTTGAAAGGACCGACTCAACCCGCTCGATATAACCGAGAGGAGTTGTAAGCAATAATATAAAAATAAAAAATTATAGTTATGTTTATTGAAGCCTGTATATTTTATTAATGTTTACATATTATTAAATAAAGGTTAATTTATATATGCTATTTAAAATAGTATATATATGTATATGCATATTCTTATTTAACGATTTTTTTTACACTGGGCATAATGATATCTAATTTTTAATTATTATTAAAAAAATTGTATACTATTACATTAATTAAAATTAAAATGTTAAAATAATTTTAGACATCACCCCAAAAATTCCATTTTTAGTTCCGCACAGTTCTTAAACAACGATATTCTTAATAGATGTGTGCTTAAATTATTTTTTTTTCTTTATTTAACAATACATTAAGACTGAAAAGTTTTCGGAAATTCTCATTTAAAATTCGCGCGCTGTATATTTTTCGATATTTTTTATGTAGTTTGGCAGCACTGTCCTTAATTACTATGCAAAAAATGAGCGCGATCTGTCAGACAGTTCGTTTACGGCAGCTGTTGAAACCAGTTCACCTCAGTAGTGCGTTGCGAAATGTCTTCGACGGTCGTACGACCGTACTGAAAGGCTTTGTACCACTCATAAACTTGAGTTTTCGATAAAACTGATTCCCCATAAGCCTTTTGTAGCATTCGCAACGATTCTGCACACGAAATTTCGTTCGAAACACAAAATTTGATGCAAACTCTTTGTCCAATATTTTTTTCCATTGTTTTTTTCGCAACGCACTACTGAGGGGAACTGGTTTCAACAGCTGCCGTAAACGAACTGTCTGACAGATCGCGCTCATTTTTGGAATAGTAATTAAGGACAGTGCTGCCAAACTACATAAACTTAAAATATCGAAAAATATACAGCGCGCGAAATTTAAATGAGAATTTCCGAAAACTTTTCGGTCTTAATGTATGTCTATATCGAATCGCCTGACAAGTTTTTAATTTGTAAATTATTTTAAGGGGCCTCTGAATAAGTAGCTAGGGCTCATTTATCACATACGTTGAAGTAATCAGAGTGATCTTTAGAAAAGCAGGATGGCGATTCTATCATTCCGTTTCAGCATAGATTCTTAAATTTTTGATTTCAACAAGTAGTTTGAATACATAGCATAAGTTCTACCGGTTTATTGGCATCTGATAATGTGGCGTTCTGTATAGAAAATACCATATAGGATTTACATAATATTACGAGTAATATCCATGATAGCATAGTCAATTCCAGTGAAATACACTCATATAACTGAAAAAGATGCGTACAAGGTAGCGTACAAGGTTTAGCGTGTTGTGCTTCATTACGGTAATACCTAAAATTGATTATTATTACTGCAGTTCTTAACAAGGAAACCTTAAGATCAAACCTCAATTAGGTCCAGGATTAGGATACCTTTTATTTTAAACGTTTAAAATATTTTGTGCTTCAATAAATCATAAAATTTTTTTCAATTTGAGATTCTTTAACTTCATATACGGCGTACAATTAAAAATTAAAATTAAATCAATTACATGGTTATTATACTTACATGGTTGTCTAATCTAATCTAATGATTCCTTGGCATCCAAACTGCAATATGGGTATACTTGTTGGACAGCTAATGTATCGTATACATTTTTCACATTCAAAGTTTTCTAAGCAGTATTCATAGGTGAACTTGTGAGCAATGTCTGTATCTTTTACTTAATTGTAGTTAACTGTTCCATATAGGAAGTTATCAACAATTGTTAGATTCAAATGTTCCAAAAATGTCCCTTATTTATGTTTGTTTCGCATATACTCTTTGCGATCGCCTGAAGTACTCTGTTACTTTTACACTATTATCCGAAATATATTGGGATATCTACTGTAACATTAGCTAGGACTCCCATGTTTAATTAGAGTAAACTTATAAAGAATTTTGTTCTTATCATTAAATCCTCAATTAATAAATTAATCTATTCGATTATCTATATATAATTGTTTCGAACTATATTCTTTCAGTTTTCTTCCAATTCCCTATTAAGAACTGTATTCTGTACTGACCTTCAATTTTTTTTCTGAGTATACACTTCCGTTAGAGCGTATACTGCTATCAAAAATATATATTTATTAATCATGTGATCCAATATTAATTTCCAAATATAAGAGAATATGGTACACCGTGTCCTTTGTGGTCTATTGTGTTCTATTTAGACTTGAATGACAGTTAATAAGAGTTGGGTCAGTTAAGAAATTAATAAATAATCTATATTTAGTTTTCTTTTGATCTATAATCTGCTAACATTTTTGTTGTTGAATGAGCTGTCGAGATTGCGTAAAATCTTTAACATGATCATAACTTCGCAAACAATTTATATTTGATTATTATCAGACTGATACAATATAATATTTGGATACCCCACAGAAGCACTACAGTCCAATGAAGGTTGTTTAGGTACCCTTGTGTAACTTTGACACGAGTCCTTTGTGGTTTTAAGTAGTTACCTATCGTGAGGGCTTAGGGTTTTCAACACATGTTTTGAGATTATGCGGTAATAAACACCACATTGGATAGAATTCCACCAGTGCCAATTAAAGTTGCATGCTTGGATATAATTTCCTCCTTCGTGTGAAGTGAAGTCCATCTAAACCTCTGCTGTTCTTTGGTTACATTATCTAGTTGACAAAGAGCAATTCTACATTGAATGGAAGCATAAATGTTAAATTTTTTCTTTTTTAACTTAAGGTTTTGATCACAGCCACCTTACTTATTGAATCAACTGAGCGCCCAGGAAATAATAGTTGTGGAGAGCTAGATCCCTGATATTGATTTTCACTTCTGGTGGTGTGTTGCAGTTCAAACCCTACTTGCTAGTAGTTATAATCCAAAACAATACAGGGTGGTGCTTCTACCCGTATCCGGAAAGTGGCCCAAGAATGCATAGATTTTATCGTTACCTGATTAACCAGGTAATCGTTATGTTTATCGAATTCAAGGCATTTGGATTTCAGTACTATGCTATTTTGTTTAAAACTTCTATATCGTTGCTTAATAATCCAGATAGTCGTTATGTTTATCGAATTCGAGGCATACATATTTCAGTAGTATGCATTTGTGTCTAAAGCTTCTGTAGATTGAAAGTTTTCTGTTAAAGAATTTGAGTTGTTTTCTATAGTTTAAATACTTAACTTTAAACCATCTTGAGTTTGTTTTAGGTTCTAACTTACGGTTTCTGTTTTCATAATAATAATAATGTTAGTTTACATCACATCCTTAGTAATACTTTCATCCAATAGTTTTTTACTGGTTAAAACCGCTATGAGATGACAAGACCTAAATAGGAACTTTCAGTGTACTCTTCCGTAGATTTAGGTTTTATTGTATGTAAAAATATTAATAAAGCGAATTTAGAAAGCGATTATTTTGTAAACAGCTTATGTATATATGTTAGTAAACTTTTTGTGTAACTTATATCACATCATAAAAATTCCTCGACAGAAGAGTTCTTTAATTCAACTGACTGACTTAGCGATATTTCTTACGATTCATGCACCATTTTACTTCGACATCGCATGTCTGTGCGTACTTTTTATGCATCATTAACGGAAGTTGTAATTTCATTTTATGCAATTAAATAAAATGTGTAAAAATAATTACAATAATTACGCAGCATTCTACCTTTCTACATCCGTAGATATCTGTAATATAATTTAACTTAACTTAAATATTTTATATACTTAAAACGGTTTTATTTTCATCATCAGTTCGTTTATACTATTAATTTTTTTAATGATTTGCAATATTATCACTTTATACACTAAATACCCTCTATATCTTTTTAGCTGTACTTATCCACTACTGACGATGAGTTGCAGATGACTTAAGTTTTCATTGTAATTACCTTTTAATTACCCTGTATAATTGTGCTTTGGCGGCTTTGGTCGCTTTAAAACGCGCATAAATATTGCGAAATCTTTATTCTTCATTGATTTCAGCTCAAACTGGGTAGCAGTCTCAGTTGGACTCGCTTACTTGTTTGCTTGAAGTGATTACTTGCATCTAGCCTAGCATTTGGGTTTCTTGATGCTGCATGCAGCTGTGACTAAAACGAAAGGCACCAATTGTGTGCATAAAATGTATCTCATGGTTTTCAGCAGCATTCATTGAATACAAGCTAACATACATACTCGTAGATTTGAATTTATATGAATTTGTTGGAATTAACTTCAGCATTTGCTTGCTATTCCATGCTGCTTTTAAGTAAACGAATTTCTGTATATTCGTGGATGCAAATTAAAATAAATTCGATGTGAATATTGTTGCTGTTGTTTACTGATGAGATCAAGACAAATCTATGTACATTCATTTATTATTATTTTGTATACACAAATATTAACACTATGGACGCATTCTTGTAG